TCTGAGTCAGCAAGCTTGTAGCTTCTGCATCTCTAACAAGCTCCCGGGTGATGCGGGTGCCACGAGTCTTGGACTAGGCGCCAGACAGGGGTCCACAGTCCAAAGCAAGAGCCAGTCCTAATGCCATGGTCACTGGAAGTCCAGTTACTGCAAGAAAAGAGTTGACAAAATATGGTTGGAACTTATTTCCCAAAGAGGGCTCATGACGTTGGCGAGAAGCCCCTATTATCACACGGCAAACCAAGAATCTTCCCCTGATTAGTGATGCTGAGCATCTTTCCATATACTTGTTGGGCATCTATGTGCGTCTCGTCACTTTTTAGTATTTCTGCATTTTAGTATTTTTAAAAGAAATTTGCCTAAGATGAATTAATAGTCTTCCATATGCTTTTTTTCTAATATTTTTAAGTTTACTCTTCTTAATTAAGCTTTAGCTACACCTAGAATTTACTGTGCACATAGGATGCAACAGTATGGTTATGAGTATAAAATGTAAAGAATTTAATAAAATATCAATGTAGAAAAAGCCAGGGGGGAAGGGGGCAGGAAACAAGAACCTTCTTGACCAGCTACAAGTCCCACCCCGGGTTCCCTGCGTGCTTGGCAGAGAAATCTCCACGACACTGACTGGTATCCCTGAATGGTAAGAATCAACCTTTTGACAGAAGGCTGCTCAGAGAGAACAATTCATGTCCTGGAGCTATAGGATCAAAGAGGAGAAGAAGCAATAAAACAAGGAGTAGTAATATAAGAGCTTACATAAGCTCAAACCGGCAGAGGAGATACCAGGAATCTGATTCCACAGCCCCTACTCTCATCCCTAAGTTCCAATACCTGGTATAAGCCACAGAAGTAATGAAATAATGGAGCAGAGAAAGGTGTTTAGAGCATCACTGCCTATCAGCATGGGGCCAAACACTGCATCTCTCTGCTTTAGTTTCTTTGTCTTTACCGTGGGCTAATAATGGTTCCTACACCTCTCTGGATTTTCTGAGGATGAAATGAGGAAGCCTAAATGAACTACATGGCCCACTGTCTGATATATCATAAATGCTTCAATGAATGTTTTTCTACTATTATGATTAAGAAAACTCTATGGCTGGAGTCCAGGAGATAGAACTGGCAAGAAATTGGAATAAAGCAAAGAGTTCTTGACCCATGGCCAAATGGTAGACCTACAGCTGCCAAAAGAAAAGGACCTTCCTTTTTCAGTGACCCTAGAGGCTAAAGGAAGAAGAACCAGCTAAGTGGAACCAGGATGACAAAGAGCCTGGGATCCGGATGGCACCATGAAGCCCCCATGAAGTCCTAAACTCCCTACCCCCAGACTTCTTTGACAAGAAAAAAACCAAAACTCATTTGGTTAGTCCACCAAAAACTGGGTTTTCTGTTACACACAGCTGACCTTTTTCTTGCCTGATACGTGTTGTAAAAGCTCATCTGCTTTGCAAAATCCTTTACCAAATCATCTGGAAGGCATGATGCCATGAAATGATGAAGTGATATGACTTACAAATAACTTTCCTGACACATACAGAATAGGGAGAATAGGACACACAGCAGCTGAGTCTCCCGCACTACCATATAAAAGAGAACTCACGGTGGGCTTCTGATGGTCTCCTCATCAGTGTGGTAAAGGTGCTGACAGTCCTCTAGGGGCGACCCTGGGAAGAACCTCATGAGAAGATGGGAGAAAACGAAGCCAAACCATCTGTGCTCAAACACTTCTCAGCTGTATGCCAATGGTCAGGGCACTTAACTTTCCTGTGCCTCGATGTTCTCAGTTGCAAAATGGAAACAACAGTTCCTGCCTCAAAGGGTGCTTACGTATTTAAGGGAGCTAACACATGTACAATGCTTAGACCTGCGCTAACACTCACTGAGGATCTACTAAAATGCTGGTACAGTTTCCCTGGCGGCTAAGAAGGTAAGGAATCTGCCTGCAATGCGGAAGACCCAGGTTCAAGCCCTGGGTTGGGAAGATCCCCTGGAGAAGGGAATGGTAACCCACTTCAATATTCTTGCCTGGAGAACTCCATGGACAGAGGAGGCTGGCGGACTACAGTCCATGGGCTCACAAAGAGTCAGACATGACTGAGCGACTAACACTTTCATTTCATTTCACTTCACTACTAATATTGCAACACTGGTGGTGGTAGTGCTAGTGATTAACAAATAAAAATAGTAACAATAATAAAAACCAGATGAATTACTTCATTCTGTAGACATCAACCTTTTCCCTAATGTATGCATCTGCCTAATAACATCAGCAAGAAAGCAAGCTATAGATTGTGGGTGGATTTAGACAGTTTTAAATCTAAGGCTTTCTCCAGTGCTCACCATCACTACTGCCACACTCATGCGATGCCAAGAGTGGTAAAGTCTACATGAAGAGCTGCTTATCAGTAGGATGTATTTATAAAATGGGAGTTGGGTAGAAAGGTTAACAAAGACAGCTAAAAATAGTCCTATAAGCAAACAAGTTTGCATAAGCCAACAGTTCATTAAAAAGTCAATACTTTCACATCATGACTCTTGAGAAATATTCAAGTAATGTGTCACACAATTTGGGAGAATGTAGCCTCTTGTCTAAGACTTGGCTACACACTTGCCCTTTCTATCTTTTCTAGATTCTAACACGGAAAGCATCCTGGTCATTCTATGGGGCTGCGCCTAAGGGTCTAAAGGGCACAAGCATTTTGTACAAAGGTGCCAAGTAGTAGCCACAGGTATGTACCCTAATCAGCACCCGATGCTCCAGCAATCAAGACACTGAAAACTGAACCACCCATAACTTCTCTTGCAGGCCAATAGGAATCTTGCCCTCAGTGAAAGCAGTCTCAACTAAGTCACAATGTCAAAGCAGCAGGATCCCAAAAGCAGTTTAATCTGCTCTGCCTTTTAAATGCTAAACAAGCATAATAGATTGTGAATTTACACTTCTCTCCCAATCCCAAAAGGGACCAAAAAAAAAAAAAGACAGAAATGAGGGTGTGAAGACCTCACTCCAAAATCCCGCTGTGTGCCTGTCACCGCTTTTCTGGTTGTACATTATCAGGTGGGCGGGCAACTGCCCAGGAAAGCCAAGGACTGCTAAGTTTAACCCTTTCTTTCACTCTGGCGCAATAGGGGAGCTGTACAAGTCAGCCGCTTGTGTAACTTTACATTTTTCAGGAGCCACCTTTCAGAAGGTAAAAATACACAGGTGAAATTAACTTTAGTAATAAACTTTATTTACCCCCAATGTCAAAATATTATCATTTCGACATGTAATGAGTGTAAAAAAAAAAAACTAGTAATGAGATAGCGTATATGCTACTTTTCACCCTAGTGTATATTTCACACTTACAGCACAGGCCAATTCGGACCAGCCATATGTCAAGAGCCCAAGGCCCATGAGTGACTACTGGCTACCATAACAGACAGAGCAGCTCTCCAGATCAAAAACTGATGTCATCAATTTTTCAGGTCGCTTCCCTGATGGACACGATGGTAAAATAGACCAACCAACTCAGACCAGGCAAGTCGCTAGACAAGGGACCTAGTAGTATCTTGGATGGGGGAACACACCCCATTTCAAAACAGCATCTGGGTCTCTACAGATTTTATGTTTTATATTAAGCACAGACATTGTTAGTTACACGTTACTCCACACAGAAGTATCTGGTGTTTCATCTTCGTTTTAAGTAAGAGCCCCCCAAATTTTGGTCCCTGGACAAACCTCTTCTCAGGAGAGAGTGTATCCTGTCCCTTCTCCCAGAATGAATGGTCAGACATTCCGCCCGCTGACACCCCACATCTCCCACACGTCTGGGACACCCCACTGCACATGGTCTGTGTGTACTCGGCAGGCGGGAGAAATGAGAAGCAGAGATGACCGGCGTTGGAGATGCTGCAGCCATGGGTGAGACAGTTAGAAAGATGACCTGATCTTACCCGCGTTACCTACCTCTCGAGCTTACGGATGACCAAGGGCAATAACAGAGAAGAGCTCTTAGCCAACTGTAAAGCGCTACCCAATTCTAGTTATTATTATTGAGAAAGGACACCATTCCTCACCTGAAAGAGCAGATAGAAGAAAGAAAACAAAATAGTAACTTCACACAGAGAGATGCTGAGCTGGGCGGGGGGTGCGGAACCCACGATAACACGGGTTGTTCTTGGCGGACCCGTTCAGGGTTCAGACAGGGTTCAGAGAGGCTGAGGAACCTCTATCACTTTTGCTTCGAAATCGTGGGAGGTACTTAACAGGAAGAGTGACAGCTCAGAGTCCAAGTCCGCAGACTCGGTCCACCACCCCGGCCTGTCCTCGTCCCCAAAGACGGCGTAACTCAGGATAATGGTTCCAAGCAGACTTCTTCCCAGAGTTTAAATGTGGCCTAAGACTGCGGCGCCAGCGGGGGTACTGGCGCCTTCCCGGAGCAAAAGTCACCGAGTCCCGGGGAGTCTGGCTCCAGGCTTCTCGCCGGCGCGAATGCCTCAGAGCTGGCGCGGGTGCTGCCCGGTCTCCTTCTCCAACAAAAACAGAGAGGCTCGCCGGGCCGCCGGAGTCTCCCCGTACCTGTCCAACCGCCTCTTCACGCGGCGAACTGCTCTGGGCAGGCGGCGTTTTTACGAGGTCCGAGGGGGGTCACCCACACAAAGGCGCCTTGTGCCTCTGCGCTCCCGGGTGGGCGGCCGGGCCGCCGGGCTCCGCACTCGGGCAGGGCAAGGCGGGCGCCCCGGCCCGACATCTGCGCCCCCAACTCTCATTCTCCATTCAGAGGCCACCCGTACCCCCCCCCGGGTTTAAAGATGAGGCTCCCCTCGGCTGGCCATAACCCGCACCCCCGAAAGCGGACACCAGAGCCACGGGCGCAGAGAAGTTTGCAGGCTCACCGCGCTGAGCTCTCAAAGCTTCTCGCCTGCAGCAGGGGCTGAGCAACCCCTCCCCGATCCCAGCTCCCCGCCGGCCCGATCTCCCGGGCTGGAGACGCCGGGGAACCCCCAGACTCGCTCACCTCTAGTCCAGTCCACCACTTGTCTGGGGCTCCACTTGGTCACGGGTTCCATGGTAGAGGGCCGGGCACCCAGCGGGGCTGGAGTCGGCGGTGAAGTCCTGCTGCCCGCGCCCGTTGCCCCCTCCCGGGAGGGCGCGCCCCGCGGCCGGTCCCCGCGCCCGAGCGCCCTGTCAAGGGTGCATGGCCGCCGCCGTCAGCGGGGCATCCCAGCGCGGCTCGGCCCGGGCGGCGCTGCCCGCTCCCCGGCGCACGGGACAGCGGCGCGGCTCCTCCTCCGGCCGCCACCGTCCAGCTGCAGCTCCTCCTCCTCGTCCCCCGCGGCCGCCGCCGCCGCCGGGACCCCAGACAGCTGCCGCTCCTAGGCGACGGCCGCTGCGGGGACGCGGGGCAGGGAGTCCAGATTCCCCCGGCCTCGGTTGCGAGCGCGGGACCTTTCCGCCGCCCCTCCGCGTCCCCGGGCCGGCACCAATGCCTCCGGTTCCCGGACCGAGCACTCGGCTCCCCGTCCAGCTCCTCCTCTGGGCGGCTGAGCTCTCCGGGGTCCCCGATCCTCGTGCGCCGGCGTCCCGAGCCTTCCCGCCCGCAGGTCCCACCTCCTGCGCCTCCCGGGAGGGCCGCACCGGGGCTGGGAGGAGCGCAGAGCCCGCGCGCTCGGGTTACAAAGTTCCAGCTCCCGGCTGCGAGCGCGGAATAAAAGAGGGGGCGGGGCCGGACACCCGGCGAAACTCGTGGGAGGGGGCGGAGCCGCCCCAGTCGGCCGACTCCGGTTACTTTCGCCCTGGAAACCTGCGTTCGTTCACCCCGAGTGGTCCCCGCCGACTTGCCTTTTCAGGGGGCGCACGATAGATGCGCGTGCATCCTGGAAAGCCCATTGGGCTTGGGGGAGGCTAGGGTCCTATTTAGTACCAGTTCAATTTGTCTGGCTGTGAGCAGCAACACAAAGAAAAATAATAAAGTCAAAAACTTAAGTTGAGATCTGCGTGTTTAAGTGTTTTGTGTCAATATTTCTCTTCCATCCAGACCTCCTCCTTTTACATTTCTTTAGGGAAAATTATTTTATTTATATCTTGAATGACATTGTGGCAATTTAACTCACTGCTCTTCTGTAAATTTATTGAAGTATGGTTGATCTAACATGTGTTAATTTCTGCTGCGTGGTGCCGTGGTAAAAAACGTGTCTGCCAATACAGGAGACACGGGAGAGTCTGGTTCGATTCCTGGGTGGGGAAGATTCCCTGGCGGAGTAAATGGCAACCCACTCCAGTATTCTTGCCTGAAAAATTCCAAGGACAGAGGAGCCTCGCTGGGTACAGTCCTTGGGGTTGCAAAGAGTCGGACATTACTGAGCACGCACATGCACGCAGGTTCTCCCGTACAGAAAGTGATTCAGTTATACATGTATGTACATTCTTTTTCATATTCTTTTCCACTATGGTTAATCCCAGGATGGTGTCTATAGTTCCCTGTGCTATACAGTAGGCTCTTGCTTATCCATTCTATGTGTTAAAGTTTCCATCAACTAATCCCAAACTCCCAATCTATTCCTCTTCCACCTCTTCGCACCTGGGCAACCACAAGTCTTTGTAACTCACTTCTCCTTTAACGCTGTTGCAATATTTCAACTTCGAAACTGAGTCATAAAAAACTGTTAGCGTTTACGTTCTATACTGCTGTAATACTCAGATTTGCAAAGGGAGCTAATGCTCATGAATTAGTCATCAATCATGAAGGGAAAGTTGTTAGCCAACTGTTTAAAAAAAAAAAAAAGGCCTGTGCACAGTTTCAGCGACTGACAGAGGGCCCTTTTACTCTCAGCGACTCTGTCTGAGACCAGAGTTAACCCAGCATTGGGAGAAAATCCTAAATTCGAATATCTACCTCTCCTCCCTCAAGTCCTACTGCGCCGCTCCCACCACACCCCAGCCCCTGTGGCCTCTAGCTCCCACTCACAGAGATTCTTTGGCACTTAGTGATTCTTACCTTCAATTGCATTATTCAGTTATGTCTTCCCCTTGGAGACTGGTAACTCCTGGGGGGCAGAACTTAACCTGATATTATATAGAGCTTTTATTCTCTCCCTCTTCCTACCACTTGGCATCCAGCAGGAATCAAAGGTGTGGCTGGTGTTTCTCCATTCACTTAATATGTATCTGTGGATGCCTCCTGAGTGCCAGCCAGCCCCTGCATTCATGAACTGTCTGTTGAATTGGTGATATGTACTATTTATACAGGTCTGCTTGAATGCACGTGTTGGAAGGATGGCTAACAGAAGGCCTATGCTTCTGTTGTATGGTGTGATGAGCTGGAGTGCCCAAGAAGAAAAAACATATTTGGAAAAGTGAAACATCAAACCCACCTTCCATGCAACTTACCTACAGGACAGAGAAGCCGTAACACTGATATGAAGTTATCAAATATAGTGATTTTTGTTGTTGTTTGAGCAAGAGTTACCAGTAGACCAGGAAACTTAGTAAAGGCAATGACAAAATTCCAGATGGAGTAGTCTTTCAAAAAAAAATGACTTTTTAAAATTAATAACATCAATTGTTAACCATCTTTTCTTCATGGCAACAGATAGGGAAGCTCTCAATGTTTGTCACTGAATTCATTGGAAAATGTAACCAATCTTATCTACAGCTTTATTTACAGTAATCACTGAAATTTGTGATTTCTTTTAGTCATGATTAGCATGACCACACAATTTATCTCCAAGCCAAGATATTCCTGAATCTGAAAGGGGATTTACCAGTACTTAAGACGGAATAACATGAATTAACTGAGCCATATGGTCCCTGTAATTATGAAGAAAACGTCAAATGATGTCAAATGATTTTACCATAGCATTCTATTGATGTTTTCACAGTGTTTTCAAACTCATTTGCATTCATCACTACCAGAGTGTTAAAAGCTGAAATTCTGAGAGTCAAACAAGAATTTGCAAAATTTTATCCCACTGAGTCAACCCATTATCTGTGTGTTGATGATAAATACATCATCGCTGAAAAGGAAGGCCATGTGAAGATCTCCAACCCGGAAGACCAATTAACTACCTAAATGAATTAGCATTCTGTTTACACTTCAAGTCCTGAAGGCTAATTACTATTTAAATAAGGCCTTCTACCTTAATTACAGTTGTTAGCATGTGAAAGTTTGAGGGAGGCCTGCTTTCCTATCTGAAATGCAGACTTGAAGATGTCCAGTCACTAATGGCAGATAATAAAGGCAGAATCTTAGGTAAATAACTTTGGAAATTAAAGTGGATACAAAACGATCATTTATAAATGTGCCCATTTTTCTTCTCTGCTTGCTGTAATCTTCACCACTCTGTTACACTGCACTGCAGGGACATCACCAAACGGCAGCCAGGCTAGATTCTTGAGAAGTAGAATTTCTCACCGGCAGCTTGATGCTTACCGCGATCCCTGAAGCAGAACAAAGAGCTAAATAAATCCTCTTTTTAATTGAATTTGTAGAACTGATACTAGAGCCCAGGCTCCCTAGATTTCTCTTTTCAGCACCTTTATTTTTCTGCCTTGGGGTCTCCTTACACACATAGGTCGTTTATTCAGTCAATGAGATATTTACTCTGTATTGTTAAAGCACGTAACTGGGCACAGAAACAAATGCCAAGTAGCCTTTGTCAGTTCAGTTCAGTCGCTCAGTCATGTCTGACTCTTTGTGACCCTGTGGACTGCAGCATGCCAGGCTTCCCTGTCCATCACCAACTCCCAGAGCTTGCTCAGACTCATGTACATTGAGTCAGTGACGCCATCCAACCATCTCATCCTCTGTCGTCCCCTTCTCCTCCTACCTTCAATCTTTCCCAGCATCAGGGTCTTTTCCAATGAGTCAGTTCTTCGCAGCCTTTGTAGAATAAAGATATCATGGTTTTTTCAGAGGGGGGAGTTTCTCCTCTAATCTTTAATCAGAGGAAAGTACCCTGTTTGACCCAAAGAGTTCTAAGGATCAATACGATATGAACATTTTTGAGCCAGTCCATACTTTATTAATTTTTTGAGAACTAGTGATGAAACAATTTGTGTTAGTAGTTACTACCATAATTTAGTAGATAAATACAAGAGAAGCAAAATAAGCAAATCTGTAAGCAAATTAATCGGTAAAGACCCAGGCTCCTCCCCCAATCCAAAGCAATGTTTTCCAGAATGAGAGAAAAAAAAATAATAAAGTGAGCTTCCCCAGTCTACTTTCTCTCACAATTTATGATCCTTCTTTTGATTATCATTTTTTCCCATCACATTGATTTTTTTTATTCTTTTCAGAACATTCCAAATTACTTAATATTCTCTGCACATACAATTGTCTCATGTATATCTCTTATGTATCTTGAGAGATCCCAAACCATTCTTCAAAATGTTACCTGGGAAGTATTCTACTTGGTTTGCATTAAGCACTCTTATCTGTAACATGACCTCACTGCAAAGTCATCGGTTAAGTAAATTATCCAAGCTGTTGATAATCTTGTCTGTCAGTCAATTCTATTTGGTCTGAACTTCACACCACAATCATGCAGTTACCCTCCTAAATATGCTGAGTTTTTTATCAGATATTTCAAATAGGAAAGTCCTCCAACTTTTTTTGTTTTGTCCTTTTAATTCTCACAAGGGCTGCCCTACTTATCCATATCCTTCTGATCAGTTACATTAACTCCTCCTACAGCAGGAAAGTTGATATTTGGCTTTCTTTTACTGAGCCCTATCTCTAACTCAGCGATCAATTTTGATTGGACAAATGTTCAGAAACCTCATCTTTTGAAATCAGAGTTGCAGAAATTGGTGACACTTTTGTAGCACAAAAGAGAAGGGTTGACACTGTTAAATCTTCTTTTCCAGGACTTAAAGCTGTATTTTGAAAGAATTGTTACATGAGGCCATACTCAGAAAAAAAGTTCTTTATGTACAACTGTTAAATTAGCCATTAGGGGAGCTTGCTATAGACCAAGAAGAAACAATCAATCCTACACATTCCCCCATGAATTTATGCTACTTTTCCTTCCAGCTCTCAAGCTGCCAAGAGTCCAGAAAGGAACCAAATGCCATTTGTACTGGTTGCTCTTACAGTTTCCATTTAACTTTGTGAGACTCATCATCTCTGCACATGAAAATACAATGCCAAGTGTTTCAGATCCAATGATTTCTGCTTGAAACATAAATTCCATCTTGATGATAACAGATAAAAGCTTAGGGTGAAAAAGTACTTTTGTTCGTCATAATAAAACTTAAAAATAAAACTATAATTAAACGAACCAAGCAAAAAACATTTCTTTATATTTTTTAAGTTGAGGTATAGTTGATTTATAATGTTTCAGATATACAGCAAAGTGATTCAATTGTATCCACACATATATGTATCTGTATATTCTTTTTCAGATTCTTTTCCATTTTAGCTTATTACAAGATATTGAATATAATCCCCTGTGCGATACAGTCGATCCTTGTTGTTTTATATATAATAGTGTATATTACTAGTGTGTATACTATATACTATAGACAGTGTGTATACTATATACCATATATGTATAATAGACCCATTTTATTTATAGTAGTGTGTATCTATTAATCTATTCCTAATTTATTCCTCTCCCCACCCCTCTTTCCCTTTGGATAACCATAGTTTGTTTTCTGTGTCTCTGAATCTCTTCTGTTTTGTAGATAAGTTAATTTGTGTCATTCTTTTCGATTCCACATATTAGTGATATCATGTGGTATGTTTCTTTCTCTGTCTGATTTACTTCATTTCGTATGATAATCTCTAAGTCTGTCCGTCTTGCTATAAATGGCATTACTTCATTCTTTTTTCATGGCTGTACAATATTTATTGTACATATA